TTCCTGGAGAAGTTGGCATAACACTTGGCCTTACTGGAAGTGAGCCCTGAAGGCCAGTTTTGTGTAATGGTTAGGAGCACGGACTCTAATCTGGGAGAACAGGGTTTGATTCCCAATTCCTCCACATGCAGCTGTTGCTGTGACCTTGGGTCAGTCATATTATTTCAGAGCTGTTCTCTCAAGGACAGTTCTCAAAAAAGCTCTGTCAGCCCCACCTACCTCACAGGGCGTCTGTTGTGGGGAGGGGAAAGAGATTGTAAGCCACTGAGACTCCTTCAAGTAGTGAAGGGCAGGGTATAAATCCAATCTCCTCCTCCTCCCCTCCTCCTCCTCCTCCACTACCACCACCTCCGGGTCCGGCCAGCCCAAGAGTGAGCTCCAAAGGTCTTTATAGGCCTTTGGAGCTCAGTCAAGTCGGGCCACCCAACTCAACTGAGCTCCCAGAGTAATCTCTGAAGGCTTTTAAAGGCCTTATATGGGCAGGCCCTTATATGGGCTGGCCCCTGGTGACCCAACTTGGAAGTAAGCTCCAAAGCCATTCAAATGCCTTCGAAGCTCATCCAGGTCCCAGGTGGTGGGCTCTGATGGCATTTAAATGCCTTCGGAGCTCACTTCCAGGTGGGGCTTCAGCCTCACAAACTTCCCGAACCACAAACCAGTTTGTGGAATGGAGAAGTTTGTAGAAGTTTGTGGTTTGTGAAAAACCCAAACCACGAACCTCCGAGAACCTCAGTTTTTCCTGGTTTGTGCCCATCCCTAGAGCCAACTTCTATGGCAGCCACTTGTTTTGGTGTCCACTACATGTTCTCAAAGGGCTCACCAGTTCATCAGTGTTTGGGACCCCACTGTTAGTGGCTATGCAGGTTGTTTTTAATCTAGGCATTCAAACTCCCAGCATGGCATTGTACAGTTAAGCAACTATCTGTCACAAACGTCTGCTGTGTCTTTTCCTCAGTCCTCAGGGATGCCTAGCCAGGCTCTTCTGAAAAGAGAAAGAGGTTCCACAACTGCCATAGATATTGTCCCCCAACCAAATATTCTGTCAAGTCAGCAGCTTTCTTCTCCATATTTTAAATTAATCTTGCCTCAACCAAAGTGCCTCTTGTCTTAACACTCAGTTAGAAAAAAATGATGTGGCTTACTTTCATTTTATGGCTGGCTTTTAAAACTGTAATATTCTCTCTAGGCATGTCATGAATCCGTCAGTCTTTCCTCGTCTTTCAAAATCATTCACAACTACCTTTTATCATCTCTGCTGCATCTTACTCCTGCCCAATTTGTCCATTTGCTTCCTGAATGCTGGCCAGCAAAATCAGAAGGGACACTCCAGTGGCAGGCCTAAATGATGATGAATGATGCAAACCAGCAGCTACTAACATGAAACCAGGACATTGTATGCCGTTTGGAGATGCCTGTGTCCTAGAAGGAGCTTTTAATTATTCCATTGACTCACTAAGACTGCCCCATCTCCCACCTTCACAGTTAATAAAGCAATAAAAAAACACAGGTGTGCCCTTTTAGAAAAAACACCTGTCCTTTTGCTTCCCTTTCTCCTGGAAACAGGGAGCCTCCTTTGTAACTGTTATGTCCGCTGACTGCCACTAGGCAACAGCGACGTTACCAGAGCTTGGGTCTCAAGAGACAATAGCGACTAGGATCCTGAAACCTCAAGCGGAACAATTGGTGGGAAGTTTAAACCCACCAATGGGACCTGTGGGTGGTCCACAGGGACTGTATATAGTTGGCCATCCAGCCGGTATTTTCTCTCTGTTGTGTACCAGTAAACTATGTGCTGATAATCACACTGTTTCCTGATTCTTCAGTGCATCGAACCCACTACGCAACAGTAACAAACTAGCACCTGTTCATACCCAAAGGACTGTGAATGTAGGCAGGAAATACAAATGTTGCTTTATTCTTTTAACAACTCTATTTGCTTTTCGTTTCACTATTGCATTGTTTGTTTTCTTTCCTTTCTATGGGAAACACATTTCTGAATGCAATTTGGGTGCGAGTTGGAGGGGTTGTACCCCTTACTCAAGGGCTCCACCCTGCCAAATGCCATGCAGTTTGAAGAAAGGATCCTAGTATTACAGGCAATTAAAATTCTCACTTGCACCATATGCAGAGGCAGATGCCGGCCAACCCTAGATATTTCAGCTAGTTTGCCAGAGTGCACAGTGACCTGGATTGTTCAGAAAGGGGCATTGTTTAGTTAAAAATACGCATAAGGGAAATCACTTGACTTTTATACAAATGGTAAAGCACACGGACAAAGAGACAACAGTGTGTATACTCATTCAGCATGAAGCACACCAGAAATGTCTTTGTGAGCACTGGAAATCGTCATGGTAATACACAGTATACAGTCACAATAACAGACTTGCATGAGGAGTACAGAACTGACGGATTCATATTAGAACTACTACTTAAAAGGAAAGAAAGTGAGGGAAATCCTCAAGCAAGTAGCTAAAAAGCTCATTCTCGCACAGTCTCAGTCATGCACATCAAAATGACCACACGCCTTGCTCAGGCCTAACTATACATTACGCGTTGGCACTGTGTCCACCCCAGCCTTTTCAATTAGATGTGCTCTGGGAGTTCTGTGCTCAGATTTGATTGTCAGGAAAGCAGGAGTCCAATTCAGATTAGAACCATGGTATGCAGAAAAGAGGGCCTTATGCCTCACCCTTGCACCATTTTACTGACCTGAAATGGCCCCTGGGAGCCTCTATTTGTTCTGTTGGGGAAACTTACATGTACTAATGGGCTCCACATAAAATTTCTCAACAGGGCAAATCCGGGCAGATTTAAGGGCGTGATCAGACAACAACATCTGGGAGGCGCCCCGCAGCCGTCGGCAACCCGTTCTGCTTCACAGCAGAAGCGGAGTTAAAAGACACCGGGGAAAACCCGGTAGTAAACGGGTAGCGATGGGCCATGGATGAGGCCCTCCCTGGCCCCAGGCAGGCAGGGGTGGGGAGAGGCAGGGAGGAAGCAACTTACCCTCCCTCTTCTCCTGCCTCCTCCTGGCTGAATGAGGGCCGGAAGCGGGGCGGCCGGAAGCAGGGGGCGGGGCTTCGTCATGTGCCCCGCCCCCCATACCTCACCCGGGGAGACTGCGTTCCCCCCCGAAATGACCTCTGGTTCTCCCTCTTTCTGCACACCGTAGTTATGATCTGAACTGGGTCCCCACATACCGGGGAACATGAAGACTTTTTAATTCACCAACCAGAACCTGAAAACCCTCAATACAACAATGCTCAACAGAATTGGCACAGGTACAAAGGCAGAAGATTGTGTATACTGAACCAAGAGAACCATCCCCGTACAATGACGACAGCAGGAAACAGGAAAATACTTTTGTGGAAAGACCTTTTTATACTTTCTTGACTCCCTGGGCAGACAATAGCTGAAGCCTGCTTGCACTCTCTAAGCCAAGCACAAGATTAATGGAGAAATCTGAAATAGTGACAACTGTTGTCGAGTTCTTTATTTGTACTTATTCTAGGAACAACATTACAAATTAGGCTCTGTGTGGATTCTTTTCAGAACAGGGCAGCCAATGGCTAAACATCTGAATGATAGGAGAAACTACAGCTTTGGAATTTTTTCATAAACACAGATGTTTGGCCCATGCTGTTTTTATTATTCTTACCTGCTCTGCATCCTCTATAGGGAGAAGACGAATTCCAGACAGACCAACATAAAATAAAGTCATAGGATACAATCCATTTTGCAGAGCACTACTGGGTCAAGTTTCCACAGGACACCTTTGTGGTACATTATGTTTACAGATGATGGACAAAACCAAAGCAAGCTGGAGTCTGGACTGGCATCATCACTGGTACTTACAGTTCCAGGTCGTGGGTAAGGAATTCTTCCCTGATAGGGGATCAGCTGGTGATTTGGGCCTTCCTTGTGTGCAAATGGTCCATTAAATACTCTCTGGATGTCTGATAAGTGATACACACACACTGCTGAGCCTTTAAACACAGAACTGGGGAAGAAACAAAAAATAAATTGGTTCACAATCTCTTTTGCCATCTTTTAGATTTAAAAAAAAACACTTAGGTTACTGAAAATAAAAATGTACTAGTGTTGACCTTTAAAGCCCTCTACAGTGTGGGACCAGCATACCTGAAGGACTGCCAAACTTCTTTACAAACCTACCTGACCATTATGTCCATCATTGAGGCCCTGCTTTGGGTGCCCTCAAATTGTGAGATTGGGCAAGTGGCAACCCAGGAGAGGGCCTTCTTGGTTGTGACACCAACAGTCTGGAACTCTCTCCCCAGAGAGCCTTGCCTATCCCATTCTGTTGTCATTTTCCACCAGTGGGTAAAGACTTCTTTGTCTGTCATCCCCCTTTAGGGTTGCCAAGTGTACTCACCCTTGCCAGCGGGGGAGCCTTGCCGGGCTCCGGGAGCTCTCCCAGGATGCGTGTGCACACGCGCAAAGCACCCGCGCACCACCAACACGTCACAGGAAGTGATGTGCTACGTCACTCACATTGGGGGCGTGGCCCAGATCGTCAGAGGGGAAACTATATGGTCACCTCTGGTGACGCAGCTTCAGGGGGCGGAGTTCCCCCCGGGGCCCAATTCCACCGTGGCGGAAATCGGGCCTCCAAAGCGGGGGTTTCCCCGCCCCCCGCCCCCACTTGGCAGCCCTATCCCCCTTAGTGATTCCTCCTTGCTACCCTATGTTTTAATTGTTTTTATGTTTGTGTGTGTGCATTAGCTTGGTTTTAATTGTTTAATGATGTGTTTTTGTTTGGTCTTAATGCTGTGTAAGACAAGTTTTTATTATTTTTTTAATTTATTTTTTAACCTGTTAGCCCCTTTGGTGGCCCTGATGAGGGCAGAAAGGTGGGGTATAAATTTTGTAAATAAATCAATAAAATAATTAACATAACTCTTTCATCCCAACTAGTGCTTTAAGTATCCCACTGTCCATCAGTACAGCACCCTGTGGCTAGAGACAATAAAGCACTAAAACAATTTGGAGGGTCCCCTCTGATCACATTTAATTGCTGCACAAACTATAATCCAGATTGTGTGTAATTAATCTGCCTATTCCTATGTAGTCCTGTTCATGCACTGAGACCTTCAACAGAGGTCCTCCAGGTACCTCTGCCTGCAGAACGGAGGTGAGTAGTTACTTGAGAAAGGGCCTTTTCAGTGGTGGTGCCACAACTGTGGAATGGGCTTTCCTGGGAAGCTTGTGTACCATCATTATTTCAGTGACAGGTGAATATATTTTTGCTTCAGGTGGATTTTAGTTGATGCTTGGTTTTGTACTGGAGTATATGGCAGGGTTGGTTCTAGGCATTTTGTCCGACGAAGCAAGTATGTCCATCCTCTCCTGGGCTGGGATGGAAGCGTTGGAGCCAAGGAAATGAAGCCAGTCACTTCCAGTAGTGCTGATGGTTGACAGTCATACTCTTTAAATTCAATTTTGTTTTTTTAACATGGGGCTTTTCCATAGTGTTTTTTTCCTACAGCTCAGCTTCTTAACTGCATCCGTTTTTCCCATCCCTTGCACACACTACTGTTTGGCAGTCATTGCTCTCCAGTTGCTCTTCTTCGAGTTCCCCCTGTGTTTTCTTCAGACCACTTTTTCAGGGGAGCAACTTGAAGCAACAACCGGATGTGGAGAAGCTCATGGCTGCTGCTGCTTCATCCAGTGTTTTACAGAATGTGGTATTTACTGTGTTTTGGTGTCTTCCCTTTGGCTATCTTGGACCTTTTAATGAAAAGGTAGGGTAAACTTTTTTTAAAGTAAATAAAATATTTCCTTGGAGGACTGGTGAGCAGATGCAGTGATCCAGATGGGCTTTTAGGTTACTTCTAGACAGAGGATTTCATGATAAACAGTGGATGTTCCGGAAGAAGCAGCACCAGCTCAATGCGAAAACACCCTAAATTCTGCTCGCGGTGCTTCTTTGGGAGCCAGTATGGCAGAGTGGCTAAAAGACCGACCTACGGATCAGCCTATCCCACATGTGAATCTGGGTGATATTAAGCAAGTTCCTTTCCCTTTGCTTTTCCATTAGATATAATACTTCAACTTACTGGAATGTCAGGATTGCATGAAAATAATGGGTTGGATCCAATCACCTTTCCTTCCAGTGAAAAAGGAAGGAAGAGGCCCCTTTGACTTGTATGTACATGTGAGACAGGGGCTGCGCTAGGGAAAGGAATTGGGTGAGATTGAGTGGAAAAGATGGCTAGATCCGACACAATGCTCTGAACACTGTAAAACATGGCACTTTCTGGAAGAACCAAGTGTGTGACAAAGGCTGCTCCAAAGGAGGGCAAAGGTCATCAAATGCCCCCTGGGGAAAAAATGCCTTGTCCACACTTCCCCTCCACCCTACCTCCTGAGGTCTTGTAAAGTGCAATTCTTGACCATGTTGGCTGCTGGCTGAAATTCAGAATGCAGAAGTTATTAAGCACTTTACTAACAAGTTTGTTAAGAAACTACTTGGTACATTCTGCCTCAGTTCCAGTCAGTCCAGATGGCTTCTCCAGATACGACTGGGATAAAAGGCTTCCTCAGGAGGTGGTGGGCTCTCCTTCTCTTGAGGTTTTCAAACAGAGGCTAGATGGCCAGCTGACAGCACTGCTGATTCTGTGAATTTAGGCAGATCACAACAAGGGAGGGCAGGAAGGGTTGCATCAGTGCTTAGTTCTTGTGGCCTTTTCTTATATGCCCAGGGAAATGGTACTTTGGGGTCAGGAAGCCATTTTTCTCCAGGCCAGTTTGGCCAGGGATCCAGGAAGGAACCTGAATTTCCTGCATTGTGCAGGAGGTTGGACTAGATGACTCTGGAGGTCATTACACTGATATTCTATGCATGGTGTGTATTACACATATAAATAGCATAAAAATGCATACACAAAACCAATAAATTGTCAACATAAGCAATGAACCAAATCCATTTTCAAAGACAACATATGGCTTAATGACAAAAGGAATAGTTTGTTCATCCCTAGCTGGGAGACTGTGAGTCAAGGAATACAAAGCATTATGAGATTTAAGACCAAAAGAACCAATCTGGATCTGATCAAGAGGATTCCAGTCCAGAATTCTGTTTCCAACAGAGGACCTCAGCATGTCAATGTGGCATGGGGATGACGGCTCTCCCTGTTATTTGTTTCCAACATCTGGAATTCAGAGTCTTGCTTCCTTGGTACATGGAGGTTCCACTGAGCCATTGTAGCTCACTGCAACCAACAGATCTATCCTTCCTCCTGTTTAATCCAGAGGCAAATTCCACATCTTGTGACAACCAATTCTTTAGGTAAATAATGTGTTGCATGAAGCAGTGTGTTTACCCTGAATTGACAGCCAAATCCCTTTACAGAGGGACTGAAAGTCTTGTACCACGAGAGAAGGAGAAAAAATGCAAATGTACTCATAACGATAACCTTTGGAATCCAAAAAGGACCAATCTCATCTTTAATGAGAGCAAAGTTTGGATTAACTGACAGCCTAGCTGAAACCAAACATGTCTTCACTATTCTCTGTATAAATTCAATATGGTTAAAAAGGTTTTAATGAAGAGACGAAAGTGAAGCCATGTGATGCATATAAACATCATGACACTGATGTCATATTGTATAGACAGAGGGAGATGGCTTAAAGCCATCTGCAGGAATATGCATATGGATGAAAAAGGGTCATGAGGTGTTTGCATTGCTTCACTTTCCTTTTGCTTGTTTGTTGTTTCTTTCTTATGTAAGAAAAATGGCATTTTTGAGTCTGTGAGAAAAAAAGTAATGGAAAATATTCAGAGTGCGAGAACTGTTCTGCATTTTGTTTATAATAAACTCACTTTGAAGTTGTCATCATGAATAGATCAGACTACATCCAGGAGGCTCGAAGACAACTCCCAAATACTGCTTTTTACAAACAACTGGACTCGGAGCCCCCCACAGGAATACAAAAAAAGAACTAAACAAGATTATAAAGGAATTACCCCTGCATGCTCAGGAACAAATCCTTTCAAACATACCACAGGAACCTCGACCAGGGCCCCGGTCACACGGGCCGGATATTGCAGGGGGGGAGGCGTGGCTGTTTGCCCCAGAGCGAACTACCGCGTGGCCGCCGGATCAAACGTCCCCCCGACATCCCGTGGTTTGAGGGGAGGTGCCGATCATACGTTAATCCTGCGGCGCGGCAAAGAAGCGGCGCGGTGGGGGTTGTGTGTTTTTTTTAACCAAAGTGTGCGCATGCGCCGTTGGGTGCTTGTGCACATCCTGTGGAGACTTGGGGGGAAAAAATCCTTTTCACGACGGGACATGGGCGGGCGCCGGATGCCACGAGCTACCAGCGGAAACATGATCAGACGCCCGCCCTTGCCCCGCGGTTTTCGGAAACTAGTACCTTAGAGGTACTAGTTTTTTTACAGCGCATCTTCAGCTGGAAGCCTCGGGTTCGCCATGGGAGCTCTACGCTTCCCAGATGTTGTGGTTTGATCGTGCCCGGAAAATCCGCCTATCTTCCGTCTCTGTAGCGTGGCTAATGCTCCGTATGACCGCAGCCCAGGTACCTTTTATCTTCTACCCAAAATACACAAACCTGACAACCCAGGATGCCCCATTGTCTCAGGCATAGGCACTATCACTATGGGGGTATCTGGATATATAGACTGTGTTCTAAGACCCGATGCCATCAACACTCCTAGTTTGCAACACCACAGACTTTCTGAGGAAAATGCAATATTTAAACAACCTTCCAGATAATACTATTTTAGCCGCCATGGATGTGGACTCTCTGTATACCAACATTCCATACAAACATGGAATACAAGCCATAAGGAATATGATTTCTGAAAACACCACAGCTGACTTCGCCACCAAACTGTGCCATTTTGTTCTCACCCATAACCAATTTCGATCTGGTAACAACTTGTTCCTTCAGATCAGTGATACAGCCGCAGGGACCTGCATGGCCCCACAGTATGCTAACATCTTTATGGCTGACTTG